CATCCAAGCTGAAGATAACTAATGGATAATAAACTTAACCATAGTTTAAACTCACAGGACCTACCCTTGATAAAACGGGACAGCGTGACTGAAATCTGGCAACCAGGGTGAGGAGAAGCTGTGAAACGATGTTTCTAGATGCTTAGTCACTACTCTTGTCGGTGTTGGAACGTTGTTTAGTTGATTTTGGTATTGCTTCTGAGGTAAGAATGAATTTTGTTGTGTAGTAAGTTAGAGACTAAGAAGCCTTTAACCATGCCAACATGCAGTTCATTCACTAAATTGCAATCTTTGCGGAGTCAATGTATATTATTGCTACTTTGAGTACCATAATCTACATTGATCTCACAACGCTTAAGCCGAACCTACTCGAACAATTCTATTCGGGGGGATAGCTAATTCTTTTTGATAAGTCTCGCCATAGACTTCCAAAACATTTATGGGAAAACCAAACACCCAATCTCAAGTCGTTCGTCTAAAGGACAACAGACAATTACACCAAACTATATTTTACCATGTAAAGCTAACTTAAACCAAGTTAGAAATGGAAAAATAGTTTGGAACACTTTTCTATAGGCATAAACCCCTGTAGTACCCCTTTTTCAGCATTCTCCACCCCTTAACTGGTAGTTGTAGCTGTTCCCAACCATAATAGCTTACACACCAGATGCATATAGTTTAAGGCCTTATGTAAAATCCCCTTCATAAGCCCACCTTAAACCACATAATTGCATGACACATTGAACCAGAACGGCACAGGCTGGACGTCGCTGGAGACAACCTTCGCTGGAGGCGACCTGCAACCCTGACGTTGGTCTCAACTCTTCATCCAGTGGCCGCTTCTTCAGTTCAATCCAAGGGAACCCCTCTGTATGCTGATTAATCAACACTTCCAATCGCTGTGGATTTACCGTTGTGGATTATATGACTTTTTCCAATGGATTACAGACTCTGTTTCCAAGGGGTTAAAGCATTGCTACAATGGGATTATCGAGACGATATGGGATTATAATCAACGCAATGGAACACCAAGAACATTGTGGAATTACCTTGACTTTGTTTCCTTGCTGGATTACTTCTGACTTTGGTCTTCCTTGCTGGATTACTTCTGACTTTGGTCTTCCTTGCTGGATTACATCAAGCTCAGGACATTTGAAGGTCTAAGTTCACGGTTGGAATTCATCCCCATGGACAGGTGATGATTTCCAAAGGGGGGACTGTAGTGAACCAGATGACCTCAAATCTACCAGATGGACAGAGACTGTTATTTCCATTGATCTGAATAAGTCTGGGCCATCTGATGACTTTCTTTCTTGAATTAATCAAGCAGAAAAGACAATTCTTTATAATCATTACTGTCTTACAAATGTTTTAATAATCAAATTGTGTTAGTTCACTCAATGCTTTACAGGTTGAAAAGAACTACTCATTTTTATTTTACATAAACAGTAAGTAATGATTTTTATTCCTCATTCAGAGAAGAAATCACCTGAATATGCATTTCTTGATTTTCTGTCTGAAATGAGCAAGCTGTCGTAAGTGTGTGAAAGTTGAGGCTTCGGTCAGCTAAATGTTTACTGAAGGAAAAATGTCATGTTTAAACTTTTTCAGAAGATTACCAAGAGTTGACTCCACGAAGTCTGCTGTTGCTGCAATAATCTTTTCTGTATGTGAAAACAAATTTCATTCTCTGACCTCGACTGTTGATAAACACCTTACGTCAAAACCACTCCTCTTTCTGGTCCATCCACGAATCAGAAAGCTCTAAGTAAACCCGGAAGTAAACTCATTTAAAATGTGAAAACTTCCCGGTTCTGAGAGAGTTCTGGAGAATGTGAGAGTTCCAAGATTGAGAGTGATATGGAGTTCCAAGAGTGAGAGTTCATGGAAGAGTGAGAGTCCAACAGAAAAAGATTCCATGGAGAATGGAAAAGTTCTGAAGGAGTTCAGAAGAGAACTAGAGTTATGAAGAGTTTTGGAGTTGCCGAGAATCCAGGGACGTTTGGGATTATAATTCTGTTTTGAGCTAACCACGCACGACTCCGAGGATTTTAGCTGTTCTTAACGGAGGCGCTGGAAACAGTCTGAAGGATGCTTACTGAGCTGATCTATCGTCAAACCAGGTAAAGACTTCTTCTTCGACTAAAGTGTACCGTGGACGGGCTGAGGATCTGACGGAGCGTGCAACTTCTGGTCAAACAGATTAAATTCCCTCACATAGTTCCCTGTAAGATAATCTCCTTTCATCTTAAACTCTTCTCTCTCACAAAATCAGTACAGATATTTTAGAAATATCTGAAGCAAAGTCCTCAAATCACCGTCGAGTGATTTGAAGTTCATTATTTGTGAAACTGTCTGTTATTATTTTCATATTTTGCCAAATTAATGTAAATGTTTGATGTTAAACTTTGATTCTGAAAATAAATGATTCCATTCATTTGATGGGTCAAAGATAAATAACGTCTCTCGTTACATTTTGTGTTAAATTCAATGCACGGCATTTACAGTCAGAAAAATGAAGAACTCGTGAAAAGTATGCATAAATATATATCCATATATTTGTCATACAACAAGTGACACGTATCTCACGTGACTCACTACATATATATATATATATACATATACACACACACACATTTGTTTTGTTTTTTTGTTTGTTTGTTTTTGTTTAACCTCCTGAGACCCTGGGTTTCACGTGAGGACATCATATATATGAGGCGGCTGTGGCTGAGTGGTTAGAGCAGTCGTCCTCCAATGCAAGAGTTGTGGGTTCGATTCCACCAGCAGTCGCATGCTGAAGTGTCCCTGGGCAAAGACACTAAACCCCTCACTGCCTCAGATGTGTGTCCCATCGTTGTATGAATGTGATAAAGCACTGATTAGTCTCTGTATAGATCTAGTAGAGTGCTGTATGAATGGGTAAATGAGGACACAGATTGTAGTGTAAAGTAGAGCTGTGATTTTTGGCCCGAGCCCGACCTGAAAATCAAAAATAAAGCAGGTCAAAGTTATGTGCTTGATGGTCGGGGCAGGGCGGGTTTTTGATGCAGTTTTATGAATCATACAGCACAAAGAAAACTAAATAAGAATGCACAATATAAAACTGTGTTAATCTACTTGTAGAGGAGGAGACAGTAAATTTACTGAGGATGAGGAAAGAAATAGACTACAGCAGTTAATCAGACTGTGAAAAGAGAGAGTAGCGTTGGAGCACATTGTGCAACAATTTCGATGTGGCCCCGCCCGCACTTTGCTCCTATCACACATCTGAGGATTTGCAATTGACTCCAACCGGCCGGTTGTAAGAGGTAAAAAAAAGTCCAGTTACACTTCAGATGGACAACGGGTCGGGATCATCAGCCGCGTGTCCGCTGACCGGCCGGTTGAAAGAGGTAAAAAAAAAAAAAGACATCTTCATCTTTAAAGTAGATTTTTTACGCTTTTCGTTTTGTTAATATCCGTTTGGTGACTTGTTAATAAACAAGAAATCTTATATCTTCCTTTCTTTGAAATACGTTTTAAAAACGATCATGTCAAACTGATTTGCTTATATATATATATAAACAAACAAACAAAAAAACAAAAACAATATGTGTGTATATATATATATATATATATATATATATATATATATATATATATATACTAGTAAATATGGGGGGGCACATTCTTTTCTTGGGACAATAATTTTTTCATTCAACCTTTACTTAGACAGGTAAATCCCATTGAGCCTCGAGGACTCATTTACTAGAGAGACCTGATTTCAACAAAGAATGATGACAACAATGGACAACAGCAACAACAATAGACTATTATAAAAAGACATACAGATTTTATTTTTTTATTTTTTTCAAATAAGATGGCAAAAGGTTTAACAAAAACAGCTAGATTCTAAGGTGAATGTAGAAAACTAATAACAGGAACATGTCTGCATTGGTCCCTGCCTGGAGTCCAACAGATTTTTAAAGCCACTTAGAGAGGTCAACGTCAAGAGCTTCAGGTCTTTTTGTAAAATATTCCAGGAAACAGGAGCGGAGTAGGAGAAGGCCCTTTTGCCAAGTTCAGTCCTCACTGAGGGGACACTGCAGGTAATAATGTCCTGAGAGCGCACGCTGTAACTGCACTCTCGTAGAGACATGTAGGAGGAGATGTATGAAGGCAACAGACCAAGAAGTGATTTAAAGATGAAAATGTACCAGTGAGAGAGTCTGCGTAAAGTTAATGATGTCCAGTTAACCAGTGAATACAGGGTGCAGTGGTGGGTACGATAATCACAGCCAGTTATGAATCTTAGTGCAGCATGATAGACAACATCCAACATCTGCAGGGTTCTTGTAGGAGCGTTCATGTAAATAATGTCACCGTAATCAATTGAGGGAAGGAAAGTCACAGATACAAGGCGTTTTCTAGCATTCAGAGTTAAACAGGATCTGTTTCTGAAAAAGAAACCCAGTTTAACTTTCAGTTTCTTTACCAGGTTTTCCACATGGAGCTTAAAAGAGAGATTCGAGTCGACCAAGATACCCAAATATTTAATCAACTAAATCAATGGGGACACCATTTGAGGATAAAATCAGAGGAAGAACTGCTGGGACCGACTTCCTGTTTGAAAAAAGCATCCCTTTGGTTTTGTCGGCATTTAGGACAAGTTTGAGGTGAAACAAATCTGACTGGATGATGTTAAATGCAGATTGCAAAAGCCGGAAAGCCTTATCAACAGTTTTAGCTCGACAATAAACAACTGTGTCATCAGCATAGAAATGTATGGATGCATCAGGGATGTTTTTACCTACATTACCTATGTAGATTGTAAAGAGGGTGCGTCCTAAGACTGAGCCTTGAGGTACACCATTGTTGACTGTTAAATAATATTAAAAATTGATTGTAAAGGCATATGAAAATATTTTAACCTGCCTATTGATTAGCCAATTATTAACATGACGTCTTCATTGGGCAGTCAGGTGATCTGTGTCACCTTGCCTGTGTTTCCATGACAACAGGAATGTTGACACGCTGATCGTGGATGTGTTCCCGGTGCTGGATACCCCGGCCAAGCAGGTGATCTGGCGGTTCGTTTACCAGCTGCTGACGTATGAAGAACAGGAGCACTGCCAGAACAAGATTTCCCGTTTTCTTGGCTACAAAGCACCAGGTGAGTTTCCTGCTGACGTCTTATCATGGACGCCAGGTCAATCGTACGAGCTATGATGGGTTTCTTGATTTAAATTAACCGTTCACTGAATTGCTGCGTCTCTTCTTCTTTTTTTTTTTTTTTTTTTTGCTATGTAGCTCTTTTGTCAATACGTTTGTTTGTTCCAGTTCCACCACCTCCACCTCCGCCTCCTCCGGAGCCGGAGCCGGTCCCTGAGCCTCATCGCCGCAGCAGCTCCATGAGGGTGACGGGGACCACGTACAGGAGCAGCGTGAGGGGACGCAGCTCTGATGACCTGGTCATTGGTACACACTTAGGCATGGGTACTGAAATCATCTTTCTTTGTCATCATAAGTAAAAGCAATAAGACTACGACCCCCACTGATGATGCCTTCACTGTCATCTCAGAAACACTTCTGACTTCTGCCTTTATTGAGGCTGTTGTAGCTTACTTCAGTTTAAGCACTTTAAAATAATATATTGTTTTAAATAAGGTTTTGTGGAACAGTTATGAGTAGTCAGCATCTTACCTGCAGTAACAGCGGTCAGAGAGGTCTCAGTCTGGAGAATCGGGAAGACCTTTTCGTCAAGAAGTCACGTTAATAGATTATAATCCTGGGTTGTAGTTCAGAGCAGATTTCGAACATCTGAAACAAACAAACCTCAGAAGTTTTAAAACTGTTCAAGAAAACACTTTTCGATTTCTACACAACTTTGCTTTTGCATCAGTTATACTCTGATCCAGTGTGCTCTTTTGCGACACCTGTTTGGCTTGAAACCTGTTGCATTGGACCGCTGACCATGTTTCAGCCTGGTGCAAATAAGAGCAGCAGAAAACTTTGCGATCGAGCATTTACCTAAACTGCTTTGATGTTTTTGAGTTTGAAATGGACAAAATCGGCTCTAGAACAGGCTTTAGCCCGATTAGCCATTAGCTTGACGCCTCTGTGAGAATTTCTCCCTGATTACCTAAACAGAGATTCTTTTTATATTTATCTAACAGCTGCTGCAGTCCTTATTATCATCATGCTGCTGACTGAACCTGCTAACATGACCACGCCACTAACAGTGCCATGGTGCCAACGGGACCATGTTGCTAAGAGAAACCTCATTGCTAACAGTATCATGCTGCTAACTGGACCATGTTAAGATAACCTCACTGTCATCAGAACCACTCTGCCAATAGGACCATGCTGCTGTAGATTTATTTCTTTTTCACTTTTGGCGCCTTGTTTCTGTATTTTTGTTGCATGCTTTGAATAAATCCCAGTTTATGTTAGTCTTGGGGCTCCAAGCCCGACTCAGCTCACATTAGCATATAAATTATAGCCGAACCGAACCTTTGAGAATCATGCTGCTGTTGTTCGGTGTATTGGTTTGCACTATTAGTGTTTAGCATATATTTTAGATCTTTTAGTGTACCGTTTGGTGTTCGTTTAGCATATATCATAGTGTATGTCTTAGATCCTTATTTACTGTTTCTTTTAACACTTTATATTTTTGCTATTGTTTGATATAACTGGGACCCTGTGTACACAATTTCGTTCCACCTCTGTACCACATGTGATGCAAATGACAATAAAGAACCTTGAATCCTACCACAGGCAAGAAACTGACTACTTATAACTGCTCCACAGAAAATCCCTCCACAAACTTCATACTATCTCGTAATATTTTATTTGCAGTGTGGCTATAATATATGTAGTTGAACACCAAGAGTCACCGAAGTACCAATTGTTGCAGATGTTGAGAAAGAAATGGTCAAAAATCTTCCACACCTTGTAAAATCATATGGGGGGTGTTAAAGTCATTCTAAGTTTATCACCACAGGCCTCCGTGCCGAGTCGACGCAGGAAACTGGTATGAGGTTGGCTCCTGGAGAACGTCAGTCAGGAGATGGTACCTCTCTGCCTGAGACTCCCAACAACCTCACTAATGTATGTACCACAGCCCAGTTTACCACTGAAGATCATCATTATTTTACAGTTAGCGTGAAAAAGTCCCACCCAGGTGTCTTTTTTTTTTTTTTTTTAAACACAAGCTGTCCGCAGTGTACGCCGAGCTGGAAAACATGTACTCGGCCAAGAGGTCCAAGTCTCTGAAGAGTCGTCCTCCTCCTGACCCTGAGAGTTTCCTGGAGTTGGACTCTCCATCACGGCCAGAGTCTCCTACAATAAACGCAAACGCAGGTTGCTGAATTTTACTCATAGCTCCTCAAACTTAATTAAAAAAAAAACACACTCCGCAAAATGATTTTTTTCTCTGTAATCTATCTTGTACGTCCGTGTGTGTTTATTATCTCGGTGCAGGAGACGATAACAAGTTTAAAAAGTTCTGCGTGGCATGAATATTATCTGATTCCAATAAATACACACACACATTTTGTATTAAATTACATTGTGTGAATTTGTGGCTCACATTAAAGCAGGAAAGTTTCCCAGTAATGCTTCGTTTCAACATTAAGGCATTCATTCAGTTAATTCCTTGATTTCTCAGTGTCAGTGGTATGAAGCATGAAAACAAACGAGCTTAACATGACTGATTTTGTTTCAGGGAGCCATAAAGGCCCCCCACCCCAGTCATCCTGGCCAGATCCTCTGCCCAGTCCACCTCCAACCCAGTTCTTTCCTCCAGGGTTGACGAGCCAGACGAGTGGGGAGTCTAACCCCTACATGAGCTTAGACAGCCCCCCTCCTTCACCGCCAGAACCCGACTTCCCGTCCAGCCCACCTGTTCGACGCAGCAGCAAGCGGCGCTACACCTTCTCCAAACCTCCTCGCTCAGAGGACACTGATCGCTTTCTGGACGCGCTGAGCGAGCAGCTGGGACAGAGGGTGGCGATTGTTGATGACTTCCTGACCCCCGAAAATGACTATGAAGAGGTAGCGTTACAGAATAGTTTAAAGAATTGCTTAAAACAAACGACTCATCTTTACCTCTTCACTTGAATGAATCGAAAGCTTCTTGTCAATCATACATGGACAGAATGAGACACACGTGTCTGTAAAGCTAAAACTTCACATCCACATTTAAGCAAATTTGAATTTACAAAAGAACATTTTGTGAAGAACATAAAAGAAAATAAACAGATTTATTTGACCTGTTTAGTTTATTTCTCTGATTTGAGTTTTGTTTTTCATCAATCTGATCCTTCATCTTCTTTAAAAATACAACTTGTAAACTAAAGAACGCCTCCTCTACCTCTTAAATAACCAAAAAATTTCAATTTTATTACTTTATATTTTTACTGAGAGGTTTATTTTATTGCCTAAGAAATCAATCATACTAAATGCATATTTCTATCTTATTTACACCCAAACAACACTTATTTACAGTAGTCCCTTGTTTATTGTGGGGGTTACGTTCCGGACCCCTACACAATAAGTGAAAATCCTCGTAAGTGGAGATGTTATATTTATTTTAGTATTTATATATATTTTAAGGCTTTATAAACTCTTCCCACACTCTTACAATGTTCTAAACTCTTAAACCTACATAATTTTAACAACATACTTATATGTAGCTACTAAATTTTACTCACCAGCTCTGCAGAACAGCAGCGGCTCAGTTCTGCTCTGACTTGGTTCCGTTTCAGCGGACCTACCCTGCCGGTTCTGGCTGGCTCTCTGGCTCAGGGTAGTGGTGGTGGGCTCCGGAGGGAGCGCCGGATCTACAGCGGTGGTCCCCCACTCTAAAGTTCTCGTGGGCCAGCTAACAGCTCTCGGGTTCGCCAATGGGTCTGGGGTCCGGTTCTGGTCCATTTCCTGGTGGATTACATGCGGCTCTCTGCATCCGCTGGGTACCAAAGTCACGGACCAAATTTTTTTCGGCTCAAATCAAAACTTTCCCTCTAGTATTTCAGCAGAAGGCAATGGTGCTTATGGGCGGGGCACTGTTGGCTTCTGGGAAATGTAGTCCTTATGAGTGGCGATACAGAAATACGATACAGGCTTATTGGAAGAAAACTACAAAACGGTGGTGTCTGTCCAAAGTATTTTATTTTTTGTCAACTTTTTACTGTACAGTATCCCGTACTGTCCCGATCACGTGAGTAATATTCAAGTTGACATTCGTGTGTCGTGTACAATTTTATTTAATTTAATTTTTTCCTCGTGTTCAATCTTACTTTGAAAAACCACGAAAGAGCGAGTCCACAAAAGTTGAACCTCAAAGTAGCGAGGAACTACTGTATTACGTTTGAGATTAAAATCCTCATGAGTAATCTGGTTTGTTTGGGAGAAAGTGAACAAAAATGACTTTGCAAAAAATATTGAGCGGTTCAAATGAAATACCTCCATCTATACATTTCAAAGAAAGATCTGACTACAATTTAAAGTTATTGTTAGATAAATGTTGCATTTAGGGCATACTTGCCTTCATCATGGGGCAGTGAGAGATTGATTAGCATTTCTGTTCAAAAATTAGCAATAGATGGCCTTTTACTTTAGTTGAACTGTCTTGAAGGTGACAAAAACAGAAAGGAAATAAAGAAAATAAAACTGAAAACCTGCTGCATCGCTGCTGAGACATGCACGGCTCCACACGCCTGGTGGTTCATGTTTTGTGCAATTTCTGTGTAAAAAAAAAAAATCAAGTTTTCCAAAAGTTCCACTTTGACATTAAAGTTCTAATGCAGTGTAATTGATGTTAATGTCAGGATGTTGTGCAGATGGGCTACCCCGATGAGGATGAGGAGGAAAATGAAGACGAGCTCGGGGTGGATGAAGATGAGAATGGAGGATTTGTTGATCCAGAATTAAGCAGCCCGAGTGACGTCCAAAGCAGCAACGAAGAAGAGAATGCCTCCTCCCTCACGTACTCCTCTTCCTCTGATCATATTCCTCCACCGCCCATGTCACCTCCACCACCCCCACCTGTCCAGTTCAATGACCAACCTCCTCCTCCTGCACCACCTGAACAGAGTCAACCTCAGCAACAGCAAGAATCTGTTAGCTTTTCTCCTGTGCAGTTACCAAAAGGATATGTACCCATTCGCCGGAAATCTGGGCCGCCTCCACCACCTCCTCCCCGCAGTAACCCACCACCAAAACGCCACTCCTTACACAAAGTCCTCCCTACAAGAGAAGACCTGCAGGTCCACACTACCATACAAGAGCTAAAAGCATACCAGGAGCAACAAGCCTACCAGGAAAGACAAGCTTTTGAGGAGCAACAAGCATATAAGGAGAGGCAGGTTTATGAGGAGCAAAAAGCCTACGAGGGACAACAACTTTTCCATGATCGACAGGAACAGCGGGCCTTTCAGGAGAAAATATACAAAGAGAGACCAACTTATGAAGAGCAGAAAGCTTATGAGGAGCAAAAAGCCTTTGAGGAGCAACAAATGTACCAAGAGCAGCAGGCTTATCAAGAAAAACAAGCCTATGAGCAACATCAGGCCTACCAGGAACAAAAAGCACGGGAGCAGCATCAAGCCTACAAGGAACAGAAAGCGTTTCAGGAGCTCCAAGTCTACCAGGAACAAAAGGCGTACGAGGAGCGTAGAGCTTTTGAAGAGCGTCAAGCATACCAAGAGCAGCAGATCTACCAGAGCCACCAGTCCATGCCTGTCCAACCAACGCAGCAGAAAACACATTCACCTCTGCCTCACCAACTACCTCACCAGTCTTTACCTCCTCTGCCCTCACAGGACCCCATCCATCAAAACACAAACCACCCCCTTTATATGATGAGGCCAACACCGCAGCAACCGAACCGTCACAGTCTTCATCATAGACGCTTGTCTCGTTCTGCGCCTCCCCCACATCAGCCATCACCACCTCAACCAGTCCACCCCAGCCAACAAAGTCAGTATCCAGAGGGCATCTACCAAAGCCATCAGGGCGTAAGACCCCACCATTCCTCAACAGAGATGCTCCACCACAAGCACCACGCTCCAGCGCATCATTCCTCATCTGAGATGCTCCATCAGTTGCAACAGTCCCAGGTCCACCACACATCTGCTGAGATGCTCCAGCAGATGCAGCAACCCCACGCTCGCTACTCGTCATCAGAGATGCTCCACCAAATGCCCAAAGTCACGGCCCATCATTCCTCCACAGAGCTTTTGCTCCAGATGCATCAAATGCAGCCTCACCACTCATCTACTGAACTTCTCCACCAAGCTCACCAGATGCATCGAGGACAACCCCACCACTCGTCTAGCGAGCTGCTCCAACAGGTGTATCAGCCCAAGCCCCATCACTCGTCCACAGAGCTTCTCCATCAGGCTCATCAGATACACCAACCCAAGCCTCATCACTCATCCACGGAACTTCTGCATGAAGCTCAACAAGAACCTGCTTCCCTCCCGAATCAGCTGAACCGGGAGAGCCAAACCCACCAGAGTCGCAAGAGCCTTAAAGGTCTTCATCAAGCTGATGTTTCACTGCAAGGAAGACACAAAGACCAGCAGGTTCAACAATTACACCATTCACAGCCCACCAAACCCGCTC